TCTGAAAGGTCTTCCAGGAGCTGAGAAAAGGCCAAAGGGGCCTCCTGCACGCAGCCCCCACAGCATCACAAACGCTCGAGCAGAACTCGGACCAGCACCAGAAACATTCCACAGTCAGCGTCTGAGCAACACGTCTCAATCAAGGCACGTTCGAGACAAACTGTTCAATCATCTCTGCTGATTAGACCCCCCCCTTCATTAACATGCCTGGTAACCACGGAAAACAACCACTTCTGTCAGAGCAGGATCTGGACCATAGGAGGACAGGGTTCCACATGCTGTTGGGTGGTGTTTCTGCAGAACACAGGAGGCTTTGAGGAAAGGAAGGTGACATGACCTGTTGGAGGGCGGGGGTGGGGGGTGGTGTGGGGGTGTTAATCAGCAGCCAGAGCTGAGAGGCCTTCTCACCAAACATCCAGCCCTTCGTTTCACCAAAAAGAGAGAATCCAACAAGCAAAAGTCTTAACACTGTATAAAGTGATAGTTCAGATCTTTTACAGCAGGGCTCTGTGAGATGATGAACAGTAACTGTCATACCTGTTGTAGGTAGCTCTCTGTACGACCGGTTTGGAAAAATGGACGTTAGTCCTGACCAGACTGTCGAGCTAACGGCTTGTCTGAGTACGGCTGTTGGCCAGAATGTGGTTACTTGCAAGCACAAATACTACCAGCAGCAGCTAGCTGTAGCACTTTTGGTTCTGAGAAGGAGCCTCAAGTCATGAGTGTATGTGCAATGCTCGACAGCTACTGATTTAAAGTGATCTAGATTACTATAATCTACTCATTGGGTTACATTTGTGTTCAGATTAGAGGATTACTGGGTAGAGGTGACAAATTCAAGAAGAATTAGGGTAAAGAGGCTTGAATCCCAAATTAAAGCAAACAATATTTGTTTATAATCCAATAAGGATTAAGATTAAGGCCAGGATTATTGGGTAAAGGTAGTATCTCATTGAGCTGCTCAAATGATGGTAACTACAAACTTTCTCTTAAAGTCAAGAGCTCTGGAGCTGAACTCTTCTCTTGACTGAAAAACAAAGCAAATGTCAGAGACTAAACATGACGGATGATAAATGACAAAGACTGGTTCAAATCTACCGGTCTTCATTTAAAGGTGTAATCCAGCAGACTGAATGATAAACGAGGGGGCGCCTGCCTGGGCGGGCTGGCCTAGAGTACAGCTTTGTGAGCTGAGCTTTCAAAAATAAACTGTGATTTTCAATTGACGTTGCGTTTAGCACAGCTGGTTACTTGTCACAAACACACAAGGAAAAGTGGGCTCTTTTTTAGTTTTCAAATCTGAGACCCTAATTAGTCAAACCAGTCATAGACCAGTGACGTACTACCCTAAAATCCACGATGGTATGCTGGGTATGAAATGGTAACAACTGTGTACTAGGTGATGAAAATAGGAAAAGCTCTGGGGTCACTTCGTCAGGGACATCACTATATTTCAGCCAGAATAACCACGAAATGCTGTAGATTTATGTGTTAGCACGGCGTGTTGTTACATTGTCCAGTTTAGCGTTGTTGAAGGCAGCAGTGTGGTTTCGGTCTCGTCACCAGTCAATGATCAGACAAGCCATTAGCTCGTCAATCCATGCTAAAAAGAACTCCTTTTCCAAACTCAGGTCGTTCAAAAACCTATCTGCAACAGGTAAGATATTAACTGTTAATCCATCCACGGGATGCCACTTCAAAAGATCTGAACTTTGTCTTTAAGTATATAAAATCAGTACACTAATACACACGAATACTGCTTAGATACAGCGTACTGCAGCTGAACCTGTTTATACTGAGCTACATGACGGTGACAGAAGGTAAATATGAAGCTTCTGGTCAAATACGAGTCTTGTCACGGTTTAAGTTCAGACTAAAGATCAGGTCCATAAAGCAGGAATCACGTAAAACTGTCGACAAATGAGCAGCTGTTAAAGCCACCGGCTGCCCGGCAACAGCAGCGTGGACTCACAGACCACCGTAAACTCACGAGAAATGATTTTAACACCGTCCGTAAGCACAATAATGTAATCTCGTTTTGTTCCGCACATAAATCACAGCTCGGCCTTTCAGCAGGCGGCGACGTAAACACACCCGAGAACAAAAGCCACACCAGACGCTCCGTTTGGAGGATGGAAAGAAAAAAAAAAAATAACCACAAGGAGAGAAAATCCTCATAAGTATTCCCATCACTCTCTCTGAAGCAACAGGACTGCCTATTGTGGCGCCTTGCGACAGCACGGTTTAATCATCGGAGCCGGTTTCTCCTCAAAAATCATCTCTGCATCAGTAAATGAGCAGCGTGCTGCCACGAGGTGCGTCAGGCGTCATGAGGCTGATCATTTGGGAGGGAAGTGATGAGCATCATGATCTTTGTGTGCCATTTTCCACCGAAGCAAAATAAATTATCCAGCATCCTGTTAGGTGCTCACGTGACCGTTTGAATGTTAAAAACCTCAGAGACGCTGCAGGACCGTTTCTTACATGCATGTGAAGGAACAGGTGTTACATTTGATGGTTACACTTTTATTGATGTTTGTCAGTGAAGCATTACAAACCAGATGTTTCACAGCTGACGACAGCTCGGTCAAAACAAAACGTTTCTAGTTTGACCGTAAAGAGCTGCGGTGGTCGTGGATTAGTTCCTATTTGACAGAAGTCAGGGTGATGAGGGGAAAGCCGGTGCCGCGTTCACTGACTTGCGTCTGGACACGAGTTGGACTTGAGGCAGGGCGTTTTCATTCTCGTGTTCTACAGCATTTAAAAAACAAAACGCGTGACGAGAGAAACAGCCGTGTGGTTTTGTTCTTTTAGCACCGGATTCTCCCGAGGCCGCAGCACCAGAGCCTCGACCCAGTAGGGCCGAGCGCCTGAAAGCACCCGTCTGTGTTAGCGCCATTTTTGTGCCTCTGTTGACAAACCGTGTCAGTAACGTGACGCAGGTCGGTCCGGTCCATAAACAAACCGCAGAGTTCGGTTCTGACAGACACGGTCAAGAGTCCAATTGAATTGATTTAATCAGCAGTGATAGAAAAAGAGCACCGTTCAGATCAGATTCTTGTAAAATTAGCCGCCTCTTAACTTATCCAGTCATGCCAGACCCTCCGAGGACTGCAGAGACTTGTTTCTGGACCAAACCGTGACCGCATCTGATGCCAAGTTCTTCTGAACACCAGAGAACACAAAGCACCACAATGATGGAGAGAAACCTTTGGGAAGATCATGGAAGATTAATATGAAAAACAAACATCCAGCTGAGGATGTGCGACCACCTGAAACATCAGGACTGACCGGACCCGACCTGACACTTCAGAACCTTCAGGTGAAACTGCACTGATGCTTTGGAGCTGGAGGTCCTTCACGCTTCCACCCTGAAGAGACGCGGCTGCAAACACAGCGAGACGTCCATCGAACTGAACGCAGAAGAACCTGCGAGAAATTTAAACGAAGCTTTGAATCAGGAGGACGAGACGTGAAGGAGCTCCAGAAAACATGAAAACAGTTTATATATATTTATATATGCATATATGTATGTAAAAATAAACCAGAACAACCTAATTTACTTTATTCTTGGCTTTGAATTCAAACGTTTCTCTCTTTCTCAAAGTATATATTTCTGTCTTTTCACATTGTACAAGGGCGAGTGAGTTTAAAGGTGATCTAAATACTCGTTGCTTAAACGTTAAAGACACAGAAGAAGCACAATGATCGGACTTTAAGGCTAAACTTCGGTCCGGACAGAACATTATCTTTCTCAAACCTGTCTGATCGAACAATCGAGCCGTGAAACAAAAAGAGGATATACGATATCATTTATAATCATATACATGAACTATGTACGGGAGGAAAAAAAAAAAAGGACAATATAGAAACAAAAACAAGAGCTACGGTTTGCAGATGTGGAAGTACTGAACGATCGTGAGTTTATCAGCTGGTGTTGGTTAAAACGAATAAAAACAACGGGTGGAAAATGGCTGCGTGTGACAATCCAAGATGGCGGCGTGCGTTTGAAGAACAGTGAAGTGCGAGCTGCTTCGACTCGTTCGTTCCCGCTTCAACAAACGCTGCCGGAAAGTCGTCTGGGCGGTTTAACGAGTTTGTAAACGAAGCGTTTCCCACAAAAACGAACACATTCAGAGGACAGGACGACTCGTGAAAGCTTGAAGCTTCTCTTGCATGTTGTCCGGTGGACGAGGAGCGTTAAAACAAAACGAGTGACTGAATCAAGCTTCATTCAAAATGGCTACATGGGGGGTAAACAAGTGTTACACTTTAATTTGAACGGGAGACAAAACGAAGCACACGTGCAGTCAGAGCACGACACTTCTGGTCGTCATCTCCCCGTTCAGCTCGCTGATAATGACGTAAACACAAAGTTTTTGTTCCTTCCCTTCGGAAAGACACAAACAAATATATCTTTGTCTCCTTTTAAAACACACGTCGTTTAGCAGGTGGGTAAACAAATAGATCATAATCGTGGCACGATTTCAAGAGCCAAGCACTGAACGGACAAGTCAGAGGAGTTTTTGGTTGTTTTGGTTGGATCAGACGGTGCTGCATTCGGTAAAACCCCAAAGATGAAGCTGCTGGTTTTCACTTTCCTTAGAATCACATCCCTGATGAAAAATAAAATAAATGAATTGATTATAAAAAGCTGTGAGAGATTGTGTTTTAAGTGGTCCATCTGCTTTCCCTGACTATAAATTGTATCATCTTTTTTTTTTTTTGCATTGATCATTCTGAAGATGTCTCTTTCTTCCTCGTTCCCATCGATCTGGAAAATAAAAGCCCTACATCCACCTTGAGGTTTCGAGGAGCGCTGAAGAACCAGGAGAGGCTGTCATGTCGGTGAGAAAAGATCACCTCGGAAAACGTCCGGAAACAAAAACAAACAGAAGACTGAAGAAAAACAAAAAATGTTAGTTTTTTTTCCTTCTTCGTAACGTTCCTCAACAAACAGGCTCATTGTTCTCTTGGATAAAAAAGTAAAAGATTTTCTCTTTTTTTTTTTGTCATCTTTGAACAAAACACAAAAAAGAATACGCTTTTTGGTCTTTTGTTTCTTCCTTCTGGACCCGGTCTTGGACAAGACTTCCCATTAAAAACCAGAGCTGAACAAAACAAAGACGCAACATTGAACCCAAAAAAAAAAAAATGCAGAAATCTTTATATCGATTTGCTTTTCTTTTTTGTTTTAATACACGGTTTAGCTGCACTGGGGTTTCCCACAACTGGGAACGAGGGAAATGGTGAGGCAGTATTAGGACTCCTGGACGGCACAGTTTAAAAAAAGAAAAAAGCATCTCTGCCATCCTTCACGTGTTTCCACTGCTGGAAGAAGAGGGGCGGAGCCAGAGCTCCACGGACAGTTGCGCTGTTTTGAAGAAGCATGCAGGACGACGCTCCCGTCTCCTTTTAGATGGCGTTGCCTCGGCGGCGTACAATCAGTCGGTGAATCTCTGGCAGGCCTTTTTCCAGCGGCAGGCGGTGCACCACATGTCGCGGTTCTCCATCCCGTACACCTTACGGCACTTCTTCCCCTCGCCGCGCACCTTTCGACTGGAGGAGGGATTAAAACAAGAAAACGAAGAAAAAACACTTAGTATTCATGGTTTTAGGAATAAAACGAGCAATAGAGACAAACGTGGTAAAAATGTTACTTGTAAATGTGGGAAAATAATTTCTACTGTTTTTGTTGATAATTTGAAACTGATTTTGTTGAGATTTCTTTTTTTCATGCCCAATCTCATGTTACATCTTACTTGAACTGCTAGTGTTTGGTGAACATGTTGTGAATGACTCTCAGCTACTACCCCACCAAACGTTACCTCAGTATCTGTAAAACTGACTTACTGACATTTCTGTTTTCCAAGATTGCTTTGCTCTGAACCTAGATGTCAACACAATGATTACTTTTTAATAGCTTCAATTAGACCTGTCGCAATAAACAATTAATCAATTAATCGCATGATAAATAAAAATTATCGACCTCATTTTCATTTATCGGCTGTATCGTTTCTTGGTCTCTCTCTTTTTATTTCTACTGAAGACACTGGATGACAAAAGGTTCAACTCCAGTGCTCTTCACCGACTCCTCCCTTTCTCTTTAAAATCCATTTTAAACGTCCAAAATCATGTTTTTGGATCGTTAAAAGCAGCTAAACTGAGAAACTAAGCTACGAGCTAAGCTAACAGGCCGACCTCGGGGAAAAAAATCCTCCATCTTGTTGATAGGCCTGTCATGATAACAAATTTTACTGGGCGATTAATTGTCTCTAAAATTATTGTGATAAACGATAATATTGTTGGAAATTTAACAATAATTGTCAAATTTTAGAAGAAACGTTGATTTGTTTGGTGTGTACTACCTTTTTGAACCAGCTGATGGCCGTATGACTGTTTGACCCAAAGGATGGGTAGTTGAGCAGCTGTCTCTTTAAGAAAAATGAGAGGGAGGGCCCTTGACATGACAAGGGCTGACATAGTGACATGGCGGATGCTCACTGGTTTGAGCGCTTTAGCAGAGCATTTTTCACACAAAGCTTTTAATAAAAAAATCAGTAAAGTTCTCAGCTTCTTTTTCCAGAGAAAAACAACTTTTTACACAAAGGCACGCGTTTCAACTGTGAATTTTGGAGCTCGACAAAATGGAGGTTTATTCCCAAGGTTGTCTTTTTAGCTTAGCTCGTAGCTTAGCTGCTTTTAATGATCCAAAAACGCCATTTTGGATGGTTAAAATGGATTTTAAAGAGAAAAAAGAAAGGAAGGGGTCAGTGAAGAGCACTGGAGTTGAGCTGTGTCTTCAGTAGAAAGAGAGAGACACACGAAGAAACGATAAAGCCGGAAAATGAAAACGAGGTCGATAATTTTTATTCATCATGCGATTAACTGATTTGTTTATCACGACAGGCCTACTTGTCGAAGCTCCAAAATTCACGTTTGAAACCTGTGCCTTCGTCTAAAAAGTTGTTTTTCTCTGCAAAAAGCTGAGAACTTGTTTATTGTTTTTTTAATTAAAAGCTTTGTGTGAAAAATGCTATGCTAAAGAGCTCAAACCACTGAGCGTCCGCCATTTTGAGAACCTAACAAAAGGAACGAGAGACAGCTCATGTCAGGTCAAGGGGTCTCCCTCCCATTTTTTTTTAAAGACGCTGCTCGCTCCCTTATTATCCATCTTTCAGTTCAGTCTTATACTGCCATCCGGTGGTCAAAAAAGTTACTACATGCATAACAAATTAAACATTTCTTCTTAAATTTGACAAAAATGACTAATTATTGTAAAAATTCAAACAATATTATCGTTTATCGCAATAATTTCTGAGACAATTAATCGCCCAGCAAAATTTGTTATCGTGACAGGCCTAGTTTCAATAAAGTCCCTCCAGTGGTTCAGAGATATTTTGCTAACGGTGCAGACAAGCTTTGCTCCTTGTCGTTGTCTCCTGCAGCCCTGAGATGTTTTACAGGGTTGTTAAAGTGACTTATCGTCCTCATTAAATGTCATCAGCTCCTTCAGTTCTCATAAAAATGAACTCTATAAAAACATAGATATAAACCAGCAACTAGACAACACTGATAATTTTTATAAACTTCTGATCTACATAAATAATTTGACTTTTTACGCAGAACAAATCAACAAGTCCAATTGAAAGCAGCATGAATCCTGACTGAACGAATCAAACAATCAAGAATCACAGAGTTATTTAATCATATTTGAATTAATTGTTCTCTCCATGAGGTCGGTCTGCCTCAATGAGGGTTCATGTTTTCAAGAAGCGTCTCCTCTGTTCTGTGTTTGATCTGAAGCCAGATTAGAGCAGGAGAGGCACCTGAGGGCGGCGGTCGCTCTCGGAGGGGACGAAAGCACGGCGATGGTGTGGGACCGCTGCTCCCCGAATCCCTGGCTTTTAGTTGGAGACGTCTGCAGAGAGCGACACGGAGGCGTGATTAGTGAAACCAGAGAGGAGAACATGCGAGCAAACGCTTGTTGGTGTGTGTTTTCTCACGGAGTTGCCGGTGAAAGTGACCGGAGGCGACTGCCAGGAGATGCTGAAGCTGTTGGTGGGGGTGAAGCTGTTGGAGGCTGAGGTGCTGCTGCTGGACGGGATGGACACCGGAGCAGTGGCCTGAAGGCAGATGGAGATTAAAGACATCGTTTTGAATGCTGTGGGTTGTGAAAAACTGCGTGTACGTGCGCACACAAACCTGGTAGGCGTGGTCTGTGTGGATGAGGTATAGAGCGCTCGGTGCAGAGCGGCTGAGCGGGGTGGTGCCGCCGGTGTGAGGCTCCTTGGCGTCACACGGCTGCGGGGGTCGGTGGGAGTCTGCCAGCTGGCCGAGAGAAGGGAGAGGCGACGGGGGAGGAGGCGGCGGGGAGACGACGGAGGGTGACACGGGCGACAGGCTGCTGAGCCCGTCGGCCACAGAGTCGGTGTTGAGCTTGATTTCTGTGTAGTAGAAGTCCTCCTCGCCGTCGCTGCAGTCAGAGTCGCAGCTCCGCCTGAAAACAAAATGTACAAACAAGACGGGTGGTCTCACTCAGCCTGGGCCCAACAAACATCAGCCTCCATCAGTAAGAAAGTGGAATTTATCTCTCATCTTGTTTTTCCTCCTCACTTGTCTGACCCTGAACTCTTTGCCTGAGCAGAATCTGTCAGTGTGAGAAAAATCTATAATCCATCGATCTGATGTTTAGAGGATGAAGATGGCTGCGATTCAGAAAGATCTGTTCGAGCTGCTGTTGTGGACTACACATGGTGTGTGTGTGTGTGTGTGTGTGTGTGTTTCTTCCCTTTTCCTGTAAAATTTAAGTTTTACCTCTCCACAGTTCCTGCTGAACTACTTTGTGTTTAGGAGGAACTGAGTCAAAGTAAACTTTTGATTAAAATCTGCTAACTTCTTTTGACTGAATGGGATTTTATAACGCACTGAACAGAATCAAAGCTGGGCCCAACAGAACTGAACTGGGTTTATCTGAATCTGACTCATGAGGTCAAATGTAATGTGCTGACTCAGACCAACACTCATTACATGTAAGTGGGTTTAAATACCCTCACCTACAATCACAAACTCTGGATAGTGACAGAAAGAATGAGAATGTGGATTCAAACAGTTGAAATGAGTTTCCTCCACAGGGCAGCTGGACTCTCCCTTAGAGACAGGGTGAGAAGTTCAGTTATCAGGAGAGACTCGGAGTAGAACCACTGCTCCTTCACATCGAGAGGAGCCAGTTGAGGTGGTTCGGGCATCTGGTATGGATGCTTCCCTGGACGCCTCCCTAGGGAGGCTTTCTGGGCATGTCCACCATGGAGGATACCCTGGGGAGGACCCAGGACACTCTGGATAGACTCGGTATCTCGGATGGCTCGGGAACACCTTGGAATCCTTCCAGAAAAACTGGAAGAGGTGGCTGTGGAAAGATGTCTGAGCCTCTCCGCTCAGGCTGCTGCCCCCAAGACCCGATCCAGAACAAGTGGAAGATGATGAATGGATGGATACATATTTTATTTATGTAAAATGAGACATGGTAATTTAGGTTTCAAGCTGATTTAAATGAATAAATAATTGTTTTATAGTCGTTATACAGCCCTCTCTAAAGTGTAATCCAAACACAAGACACTTAAAGACTCCTACGCCTTGTGTGTGTGTGTTTTACCCCAGGTGGATGGTGCGGATGTGTCTCTGAATGCCAGCAGTGGTACTCAGCACTTTGCCACAGTTCTTCCACAGACACTTGAACATCACCTTCATGGAGTTCTGCAGGGAAACGGACCAGGGCGTCAGTCATGTTCTCTTTTCAAAGATCAACTCCTTTAATGAGCAAAACAAAATAAACAATATTGACCAGATGACCATTCTGTTCGACTTCCATCATTATTTATTACTCAGGAATGCACCAAGATATGTCTTTTCTTAGATTTCTAAGCTAAATAACAATAAGGGTGTAATTTAATGATCCTCAGGTCATTAAGTCAGGTCAGGTCTTCTGGACGGGTTCTTCTTTGTTGAAACGTTTCGTCTTTCATCCAGTGGACCTTGTTAGATTTATCTACCTGGATTATTGAGCCCATCAGGACAATGAAACCAGCTAAAATCTCAATCATTAAACAAAACACTACTTCTGTTTTGCGCCTTTAGTGGAAAACAACAATTAAAAATAGTCCCAAGTTCAACTTCTTCATGTCTGATTGTGCAACGTTTAGCACATTAATGTGGTTCTGGGGTCCAGACCACTGGTGGGGTTTCTAGCAATAAAATAAAATAAAACAAACACCAAAAAGTTTTTTCCCCCTTAACTATAGTCATTTTATTTCCAAAAGCACATGTGGCGTTAATTCTTGGGGAAACAAAACAACATCACAGTTTCAACCGCAGCTGCGACACAAAAAAAAACCCAACTCTTTGAAGAAGTGATTAATAGATTTCCCGTTAATCAAGCTGAAAATCTGCCTTCTTGGCATAATCGCCGTGTGCTAATTGTTCCGTGGCATCGGCCGTTGATCATCTGAAGAAGGCAGAAAACAAAAACAGTGAATGATCACATCTGTGGTGCAGGCGGCGCTGTCGGCGAGTCAGCTGCGGAGCGATGGCTTTCATTATCTGTGGTCAGGCTGATTTAAAACGAGCGTGGAGAACAAAGCTACTGAAGACTTTTTAAATATTACCCAAGTACAAACTATTAATAATGTTTAGGTCTTGTTTTAGGTTAAGGAAACGTAAAAACTCCACGAGTAATTCAAGACACTTTATTGTCGTTCACATCGCAAGTGGTACATGAGGTGGAACGAAATTGTGGACACAGGGTCCCAGTTACATCCAACAATAGCAAAAATATAAAACAGTAAATAAGGATCTAATATATAAACTAAAACACCCAACAGTAACGATAAAAGATCTAAGATATTCGCTAGTCACTAATAGTACAAGAACAATACACCAAACAGCAGCACGAACATGAGTCTGTGTGAGCAGATGAGGACGACTGAACAGCAGCATGAAATAAATTAGCAGCATGAGATCAGCAGCATGGATCAGCAGCACATATCAACAAAGTGGCATTACAGTGATTTTCTTTTCTTTTTTTCCCACAGTGATAATCCTGATTAGGGATTTATGATTTATTTATAATATATTTAAACACAACTTTAGTCTGTGAGGTTGTTGCTGCGGATCAACGTAGACAGCTTTAATTTATTTTTTTTGCCCTCTTTGAGCGTAAACTCCAAAATAAACAAAGAATAATTTGAACTTTTGATTGTGTAAAACAAGCATTTTGATGCTACCGTATCATCATCGATTTAATCTTATAACCAGACTAAAGGAAAAAAATATATATATGAAGGCCAGAGTAAAAAAATGAACCATAAATGTTGACTTTTTCTTTTTAAGTGGTGTTTTTATGTTCTCTCGAGTATATAGCATGTGTCTGAATACATAAAATGTGTTTTAAAGGTAAATCTTTGAGCAACTTTTAAATCATCTTTTTTTTACTTTTTTCTTTATATTTTAATGTTGCAAAGTTTAGGCCTGATTAGGAAAACAAATGACAACTGTGAAGCTAAGTCTGTGATTTAAATATGTCCAACAAGAAGAACATTAAGATGCTCACCGTGTCATCAAACTGGATTTGTGTGTTTTCAGCATTAAGAACAAACCATGTCCTCTTGGCATCTCTGAACATTTTCTAAACATCCAGTGTCCGGTGAAGTGCCACAGCATCTGTTTGTGTTTTTCACACGGGTGAGTTGGGGCCAGTGGTTTGTGCCAAACCCCGACCTTCATCACCCTCAGCTCCCGTGTGTCTATTGTTCTCCGGCAGCCCGTCCTCATCATTATTGTCAGAGGGAGTTTCCTGGTTTAATTTAGAGGCTTCCTTATTCGTTGTTGCACTTGTGGTCTACAAAATATGACAAGGTGGATCATTTTTACTCACACAAACTACAACAAATCCAAGCAAAGACTAATAATCTGATTTATAACCAAAGCAGTCACAGGAAAAGATGATGCAAAAACAAAATGATGTCCACTTTGTTGGACACGTGCCTAATTGTAATTTACTACTTATTTGAAATCAAGTTTTTAAAATTCAAACAACGAGCTTATTACCCCGTAGTTGTATACATTCCATCTATGATCAACAAGTATAGCTGTCCGTCAGCCATCTAGTAGGAGTGGTGGCACAGAGGTTAGAGAAGGTGGGCCTGTGATCAGAAGGTCGCCGGTTCAACTCCCCAGACCGACAACATCAAAATGTGGGTAGTAATGTTGAAACAGCCATATCTGCCTCCACCCACATTTGCCCCACTCTGGGCCCTTGAGCAAGGCCCTTAACCCCCACCATCTGCTCATTCGGGTGCCCTAGATGGCAGCTCTCTACTCCACACAGAGGGCTGTGGTAGCTCGGTGGTCTGTGGTTGTGTCAGGAAGGGCATCTGGTGTAAAAACAAACAAACAAAAAAGCCAAGTCTTCGTGTGAGTTGGTTTACTGTGGTGGCCCCTGAGGAAGGGAGCAGCCGAAAGAAAAGTAAATAAATAAATAAAACCTCACGGTTTATGGTGACTGACCACTGAAGAAACTTAAAGAAGAGGTCATAGAGTTAAACACGTATAAAACACTAGAAGGCGCACTGGTCATGTGACCTTTTGATTCACTGGAGCAACGTCGGCCATTACCAAAACGGCCAAATATCTGCACTTAGACTTTTGACTAAACAGCCCTGAGTAAAAGCTGACTATGTACAAAATGTCTAAAATAATAATAAAATGTATGCAATATATTAGATTGTATATAAAAATGTAACGCCAGGAAGCCATGTGTTCTACGGATGTCAGCAACAGAAGAGAAAACGTCAACGGGTCTCCTTTCACAAGTCAGCAGATTTACCTCAGTGTGAACGTGATCCGACCAGAACTGAAGCCAATAACTGTTTAAAAGTAGCCCATAAAGCCGATGTACTGGCTGTTAATTATTGATCTGGCTAGTAGATATTAGCTTCTGTGGCAGATATTACTATAGGCTGGATCATGGTACCATTTTGTACAAATTATTAAATAGGCCAAGCTGCTGTTGCCTCTGGTAACGATTCATTATCTGCTCTCTGCATGAATTCTGAAAATGTACTTTTAAAGCTCAGGTATAGATTATATGAAAACTGCAATTAGCCACAACTTATATACTCTTATGTTACTAGTATTACTTTAATACTCTTATATTCATTCTGAGATTCTTTTGAAAACTTTTAATTCCTGTTTTGTCTAGATGTAAATCGCTTTTTTCGGATTACTTTCTCTGGTATCAGACGATGTGCCACTGGAAGGATTTTTACTGAAACCTTTTTTTACTTTTGGACATTTGTTATGATGCGTAACCATAACAACAAGATAATTTTCTACAACTGGAAGCTGCTGATTAACATCTCAAAAGCTCAAATAATACCTCAACAAGAGCCCCAAATCCAAAATGAGTTGAAAAGGAGGTGCCATGGATGCATCTCTGTCTACCTGGAGGTGGTGCTTGAGTGCCTGACCACTGAGAATTAGGAGGTAGCGGGAAACGCAGCTCATGACAGCAGGAGGACCAATATCGTCCCTTGACACATGAAGTTAAGACCACGGCGACGAGGGGCGCGGCAGGCTGCTGGGAGAAATGGCCATCACTGGGGGAGGAGTTCTGCCTGACAATCAGTCAGTCCTGACTCCTGCTGCCCAAGAGGACCGAGAGGTCTGCTTGATCTAGGTGGACAGATCAGCATCTGCAGCCAGTTTCTCCATATCCACAGTGGATCGGACCGCTACAAGAGATACTTCCTGCCCAAATCATCTTCATCGATAACAACTCGAACAATTGTCTTCATCGGCCTATATGTACATGTATCACGTCTATTTATGTGCTATGCTGTGGTAGGATTTTTTTTTATGCCTCAAATCGTGCCTGCCCCGTCTAGGACACGGCGTGAGAGATCTTTTTTTTATACCATCTCTCCTCATGTTTTCTTCCCTTTTCTCATCTAGGCAAAATATTATTCTGAATAAGAATAAGAGGGCCGCGCTTTCATAGCAGCAGCTTCGTGCACTCCGCCCATCTTTCGGACGACTGTACGTACATGTTCTCGTTGTATCTCGGTGCAATGATAATAAAGCTTATTCTGATTCTAATGAGCTACATCAACAAACAATTTCCATTTGGGATTAATAAAGTATTTTTGAATTTAATTTAATTGAACTGAACCAGCAGAGCCTACATAAACACAATAATGTGTTAAAAAGTTAGTTTCAAATTTATCAACTAGTTGAAGTCATAATTTTTCAACCAACTACAAAGTCTTGAAATCAGCATTAATTATTGACTGACGTCAGGTCTAGTTTAAATCATCATTAGTTAGACCTAATATATATATATATATATATATATATATATATATATATATATATATACACACACACATCTGTTTTACATGACTGTTGTATAAATTAACATTAATTATGAATTATATGAAGTTATTGTAAAGAGATTAAAAGTAATTTGTGACAGATGCGGTGGGGCTTGCTGTTAATTCAACAGCTGTTTTGTCGGCTGTGAGCTGTTACCCGTTTTGGATGCCATCTTAGCTTCTCTGTGATGTCACAAACGTAAACAATGGGAGGGACGGGCAGTCAGCACTCTAGTGGTATTTTATATAACTCTATGGAAGTGGTGCAGTAGAGCCTTCTAGTGGCTGACGTGCAGCCCAGGCGTTCCCAACCCTGGTCCTTGAGGAACAGCCTGAATGCTTTAGTTGTTTCCCTGTTCCAACACACCAGATTTTAACAAGTGGGTGATTAACAGGCTCCTGTAGAACACGAGGAAGTAACTAAATCACTGAATCAGGTGTGTTTGAGCAGGCAAACAACTAAAACATGCAGGATGGTGTTCCTCAAGGACCAATGTTGGGAACCATTGCATTATACAAACCATTGAGTTTAGAAAAAATGGCGACTGCTACATGACAGAGGGTAAAGACACACTTGTCGCAATTGGACAACAGGACTTCCATCTTTCATCAATCTCATGGCTTTGTGTGAACTCTATAAAGGCCACTAAAGGTTTTTATCAATGGTTAACCAATGAAAAGAGTTAGAGAGCTTGTGAAAATATGTTTTTTCCCCACCCTCGCTTCCCAAAAAGCTGAATTTTTCGTGATACAAGATTTCTGTTGAACAGCAAAGTTATTTTTGACAGCAAAAACTGATGCCTGGATGTGATTACAAACGCACACCCACTGAGCAGCTCGCGGTGCGCAGCCTAAAACTTCAGCAGTCGTTTGTGGCACCGAGAGCAGCGTGGCTGAGATCTGAGGCAAGGCTGCGGTGGAATTTCAGATTGGACGTTAATGTGAGACGACACGGGGTCAAAGGTCCAAACGCTGATGTGACATTATGTGTTGAGTTTAAATATTGTCAAACCATGACATATGACTAAAGGGGCGTTCAGCACGTTGTGTCACTCTCAGCTGGTTATTTAGGTTTATTTAATAGAAGTCTTTTGTTTATAATATAAACCTCTTGAATGCTGGTTTAAACATTATTTTTTTTTATTTTATTTAAACATCACCACGATACGTTTAAGTGTGTTTTTAATTAAAGATGTGGACTTGTGTTAAAAAGCCGTCACTCTTCTTCTATCCTTTAATACAGTGAACAAAGGAAAGCCGAACTGGACACAAGGCAGGAAACGCTCCTTTATCTTTTTATTTGTCTACAGTAATTACATCAGAGACTGTGTTGTTTTTTCTGCCATGAAAAGCCTTGAGAGCACCCCCCCCCCCCAAGTCTGATTCAGAACAAGTCCTGTCTGTCAAACTTTTGTCTAGGAGACCGATTTAATTTTGACGAGACGCTGTTTTCTTTCCTCTTTATATCAGAAACTCAAGCTCACAGCGATCATCTGTCCCCCGTGCATTGTTTCGTCTGACAACAGAAGCCTGTTTAGTGTGTCGCCGCACGCGTGTGCACGCTTTAAAGAAATAAATCACAGTTAATTAAATGGGGGGGGGAGGGGGTCTTCAAATGGCATTGTGTCACAAAAAGAACACCTAAGGAGCATGCTGATAATGTGATACAAATCTTGTGTTTGTTAAAAACAAGTTATGGAAGCTTGAAGAGAAAATGTTCACGCTTTCATCCGCGCTCCGCTGCTTCTTTTCTTTTTCCTGTACGTCCCATAAGAAAATCTATACCGTTTCTTCATTTAACCTCCTCTTTCCTTCTTATAACAAGGTCTCCATCTCCCACTTCACCCTCCTTGTTTAGATTCAGAGGTTGTGAAGATCTTTGTGTTTGCTGCAACAGGTCTTGCAGTCATCACAGCGAGCGAAAGCCGAGGAGTAATTATGTAATTATGAAAGGAGAGCATCTGGGGAGGATGAACGTAAAGAAAGAGTAAAAGAAAATGAAAGAATACACGTGAGAACAGGGCGAGAAGAAAGGAGGGAGAACAAAACGAGGTGAGGACAGATGATCCTGACAGAGGAGCGCAGACGGGATGAATATCTGGGAAATAATGACAGTGAGCTGTCAGAGGCGTGTGGAAACGAGAAAAGGGGAAATGATGAGTGATAAAAAAAGGTGTGTGTGTGTGTGTTAAGGTCTGACCACCAGTAGAAACAACAGAGATGTTCTCTTCTGTCCCATTTTTATCTCTGCCCATCAGAGTTCAGATGACAGTGTCATCAAGTCATGCTGCTGTGAGGAATCAAACGGTCACCTGACGCCCGAGCCTCCCTGTGAGGTCGCCTCTTTAGGACTTCCTGTCACGTAGAAATAGTTTTTGAAAATTCAAAGTTAAGAGATTCTCAGACAGATCTGAGGTTATTTGTTCCAACGTATTTAGATTGTATTAGTTTGATTTTACTTGACGACAATCACCCGCTGCCGAAAGGCGACGACTGATGTGTTTTTGCCTGTGTGTGTCTGTTTGTTAGTAAAATATCCCAAAAACCACTAGATGAATTTAAATGCAACTTGCAGAAAATAAATCATTGAACGGACATCTAGAACTACAACGTAAATCAAAGTGGTTTCTATAGATAGTTGACATTAGCAAACACAAGAAGCGGTGCGTGCGCCGATGTCCCCCGTCGATGAGGAGTTTGAATAATGTGTTTGTAGTTTTTGAGACGAGTGTTTTTCCAGACTGGAATTGAACAGACAATGCAAGTAAACCTTAATGTTTTTGGTGCAAGATATTCAGAGACGTTTTTGTTTTTCCTTGTCCGAGGTGGTGCAGAGTGACAGATCCTGTAGAGTGAAGGGAGAAATTTTATCTTCCATCAGGCGCAATAGCGGAGCCAGGGGGTGGCCAATGGTGGCCTTGGCCACCATAAATTAGTAATATTCAGTCATCCCAATCATTTTAGGAAACTATACTTTTAAGCAATATAAAAACTAGAAAACAGTTTCCTCAACTGCTAGGGGTGACTTGTACACATATATAAATTATGGCGGCCATCTTGGATTTTGATATGGCAACTCAGTGTTTCATAGAAACCTTTCTTACAAAGAAAGACGGACAGACGAAGGGTATTTACAATCCCACCTTATCGCTCCACAGCGAGGGACAAATATGGCTGCAGCTCGGTCCGACTTTCAGATATTGAGCTAAACTTTGATGTGGTAGAAGCCAAGAGTCATTCACAGCGCAAAATCTGAGCATGACATCTCGAAAAATTGCACGAGACAAGACATGTTAGTTTAAAACCAAAATGTATGCAACTCCATAATCTCTCAACATGAGGAGATATTAGTTTAAACTCAGGCATGAAAAGCAGCGGGTGGCGGGAGGGCGATATGCGTTCCATGGAGGAATGGTAGGTTTTTACAAATGGAGATTTGTGCTCATTTGAATCAACATCTTTCAAACATGAATCTGAAGATGACCTTTGTTCTTAAAAACAATCAGTCTTGTCTCGAACATCCTTTGTTTAATATTAAATAAATAAATGACAACTAGCTAAGTGCTCTGTCTGAACTGTGACACTGAACTCTTCCTTGGTCTAGTTAACATTATTCACCTTGCGCTTGCGAGGGATGGGCTCATCAAAGAGCAGGCTGCTGCCGTCCTGCTCATCCAGACTGGGGTCCTCGAGTCCTGGGGGGCCGGGCCCCGCGCCGCCCTGGCTCGGTACGCGGAATGGCTTGAAGTTGTCGGCTGAAAGTGGCGGGGAAGGCGTGGACGGATTGGACTGGTCGCTGGGCGCAGACCAGCTCCAGTAGCCTCCTGAGGAGCTGTTGCTCGATGGGGTGAAGGGTCCAGCTGAGCCGTTCTCCTTCCAAGAACCACTCAGACCTTCTGAAGAGGAGCAAAAGGAGTGAGGAGAAAAAGAGGTAAAACTACAGCTGATTTAAGGATCAAAGAGGGAAAATGTAGAGCCCTGGGAAAAGTACTTCAAACCTTTCCTGACTCATAAGTAGATAATGGTTCTAAGACATTCAAATAAGTTCAGCTTTATTTTCACTTCGCACAGATAAACCTCACAGTAATGCAGCTGACTGCGACGCAGGAAAATAAAAGCTCACTACTCTGTTCTGTGATTCCACCGAGACACTAACAAGGTCTGGTTTTTATAGATCAAAGGAGCATTTCCTTTAAATATCACCTACAGAAGACTTCTCACTTTGGATAAAAGAAGCTGAACGGAGTGTTGTAGTTTGTGTTTGTAGCAGGCGGAGTGAGAGAGACCCAGTTTTGTTGAGTAAACAGCTTTTTGGTGGGGCGCCTCGCCTCTTCAGATTTGCTTTTTTTATTATTACTGCTGCAGATTTTGACATAAAAGACAAAGTGGTTCACCAGAAATTGTTAGTCAATATGGAGTTTAGCATGTGCGCTTAATAAAAAGCACACTTTATAATGTTTTCTGTGTTCATTCTTTAAATCAGCAGCTGCAGCTGTTTAAAATCGAATATACACACGAGTGCACGACTGGAGCATGTTTAACCTCTGACACATCGTGTGTTTGTACCAAAAACAGTCTGAACAGCTGCACTTTGGATTCCTGCCACCATGTTGATCCAAACTGTGTTTCTGTGCCGTTCGTTGATGAAGCAGTCCTCGGGCACAGCAGGTGGCAGGAATCCATCACCCTGGGCTTCCACATGCGTTCACAAGATAATTGGAAAATGTCAGAACACAGACACTTTTGAGTTGAGATGGAGCCACTGCTTTGTGGTTTGCTGGTATCCAGTTGCTGGTATATTTAAACCTGAGTAATTGTCTTGTACCACTCACCGCTGACTTTGACAGGCGGACTCCTGACCAGCGGGCTCGTGGAGAGGCTCGTCAGCACCATGGCAGCCGTCACCTTGTCCATATCTACCTCCTCCTCGGATCGCCTGACAGAACAAAATAGAAAAGAAATACTTTTTTACTGAGTATCCTTTTTTCTATTTTATAATGTGGCTGTGACAAACTCACAAATCATCATAATCATTAAATAAAAATGCCCAATTTTAACACTAGTGGCACCTATTGACGAGCTGTGAAAAATAAACATGGAAATACTGATGGATATATGACATTTCTGCTGTTTTTAGTTATATGTTCTTAATGCGATTTAAATATCAAGTTTAAAAAAACAGCCAAAAATCCCTTGTGTTTTCACCTCTGTGCCAAATATTTTCAGATAAAGTTTGTGGTCTGAGCTAATTATTACATTCATGCATTTGATGTTGATTTTTTTTTTTTTTTGCACAACTGACACTATCATGAACACATAAAATACTATAGTGCCCCATGAAAACAGTAATGTGTCTTGGATATAATATACAAACTAATCAATCAGTATGACCAGATCAAATCCAACGTCTCATCTGACTGATGTCTTAATTCCCGGGCATGTACGACTCCTACAAGAGAAACAGTCCCTGATCAAAGACATGTCAATACAGCTTTACTACAGATATTTCTGCGGTGCATCTTCATCTCCAATGTAAAAAGCAGTGTGTGTGTGTGTGTAAGCGAGCAAGGCTTTGAAAGTATGTGGATGTCAAATGATCAAACACAACTCTACTTCAGTGATGAAATCTTTTTTGCTTTGGAGGAAGATGACAGACATCCTCAGCTTTCATAACTGCTGGGATCAAACTGCATCATCATTCTTACACGTACAGTTGAAGGAAGAAAAAAGTTTGAATATACAAACTATTTCTTACTTTGACCCAACAAAAGTTTAAAAAAGCTAATTAATTCAGAGTAGAAAATGGTGCATATTACTACTTCATGACTGCTTCATGTTTTCCCTTCATATTTAACTTTAACTTGCAAAAATCACATACATTTTTTTTTATACATCTCAACTATATGCAACACTTAGCAAATGAAGTTAAGGTAAAATGAAAATATTCAGGTACATTTGCATTGTACTGTAGTCCCTCATTTATCGCGGGGGATCCATACCATATATATATATATA